GGAAAAAGATGTTACACTGGATATACAAATGAAACTGGCTGACATCTTAATAATTAAAAGGGATATACAAATAATAAACCAAAAGAGCAACCTGGATAACTTTCCTATATTGGATTTACAAAAGAGACTGTTAAAGTTTTGAAGAATTCTGTGAGTAGGGGCAAAGAAAAAATGAAAAGAAACCAAGTTCTAGGATGTTATTTGAAGGGATTAAAGATAAAGATTGTTTGATAAAGAGAGCCAGTTTGGTCTAGTGTTATGGCTCCAGGCTAGAAACCAGGAGACTGTGAATTCTAGTCCTGCCTTAGGCATGAAAGCCAGCTGGGTGATGTCACTCTCTCAGCCTATGATGTCAGTCTCAGGCATCAACCAGTCAGTCAATTCCTGTCACAACCAATGGATCAACATTTGGTTGATCCGAAAAAAGGCAGACCCTGGACCTGCAGGAAAAACACTAGGAAGAAAAAAAAAGATCAAGATTGTTAAAAGGAAGGAATATAAAGTTGGTTCATTTGATCAAGTTTAAAATAGATATGATGTTATCTCTGGTAACCCTAATGGACTTTTGCTGACTAGGACTGAATAATGAGTTTTTAAGGATTTGTTTATAGATAAGAGATAAGATATGGGAAGAATAGATCATTTGTTGTATTTTAAGAGAAGGTGATAAGTTACCGAAATTGTTTATAACTGTTGTGAAGAGGGGGGGAAGTAATTTCTTTATATATTTCTTTTCTTTTTCTTTACTATAGTCTTATTTTTCCTTCTTTTCTATTTTTCTTTCTATTTTTTTAATTTTCTGCATTTCTACTTTTTCTTTTTATTCTTTTATTTTTCTTAGTTCGTATTACTTTTTAACTTTTAATTCTAATGTTTAACAAAATTACTATTAAAAAACCAGTAGCAATTAATCTTTGCTCCACTTGCTTGCTTTCTTTTTTGTAAGGAATCAAGAGGTCAGGAGGAAGAAGGGTCATTCCATATCAGTCTAAGCATCAATCGCTCTCCCTTTATGCAGCTGACCATGGCACGCAGAGGCCCTGGCCACATCTTTTTTCTGCTATGTCCCCCCCCCCCAACTTATGTAATTCTTAGCTGTACTGATGTTAATGCAGTGTTTTCCCCTTATTCTGACACTATCCAAGGGCAGCTAGAAGATGTCTCAGGAAAAGTCTGAGACACGTTAGCTCACATTAGTGGGGGGAAACTGATCGCAGTGACTGGGAACATTGGCACTAAGGGGCAAGATAGAGACTGACAATAGTTGCAGGAAAAAATCATGCCACTGTAGTATGGTGTTGGGGTTAAGGCACCAGGCTAGAAAGCAAGAGACACTGAGTTCTAGTCCTGCCTTAGGCATGAAAAACCGGCTGGGTGACTTTGGGCCAGTTACTCTCTCTCAGCCCAATTCACCTCACAGGCTTGTTGTTGTGGGGAGGAAGGAGTATTGGTACGTTTGCTGTCTTGAGTTGTATATGAAAAAAAAGGTGGGGTAAAAATCTAAAACAAACCCCTCAAGCAATTCAACTCAGCACTGGGAAAAGGCCCATAACCTTCCAATGCTTCTTGTCATCCTCTCAGCCTTCAGAATGGCTAAAGACAAAACAGATGGGACCTATTCCTCCACCAGCAAACCAGGATCTGGGAAACAGCAAAACAATACACTCTAATGGAGAGGAAGCCAGCCCAGGATTGATCTCTTGAGAGTGTGGCAGGGTGAGTTTTGATCAGTCCTGTCCTATTTTGTAGATGTGACTTGTTTACGTTGCCATTAGTAGGCAATACAGTGTCTGTGCTCGCATGACATGCTGAGAGAAAACCCTTAGGAAAAAAGATGCTGGTGTTCCATATTTAAACTCCATCCCATGCTTCAGACTCACTGTGAGTTCCTGCAGAGCTGAAGAAAGAAGGCCTCGATATCTGGAATACTAATCATATGAATAAGCACTTCTGAGGAAATCCAACATGCGGTACCTCTGCTATATATATTAAGAACCTAATTGTAGCTTCCAAAGAAGTCGTGAGGTTTGTGTGTAGCAAATGAGAAACAAAGCTATATTTATCACACAGTGTTGTGAGGATTGTCTGGGAAAGTCTGCTGATCCTAGGTAAAGTGTTTCCAACAAAAGACCAACATCACCCTGCTCTGAAAGCTTTACATTGTAATCCTATACATGCTTACTAGAACATTCAGCCTATTAAACCCTTACCTCTGAGTAAAGCAGCATAAGATCATACTGCTATGCATTTCATTCTAAAATTAGTGTTTCTGAGGTTGAAATCTATATTACACTGCTTGCTTTGAATGTTAGGTCTAGTGATGCTTTTAAGCTACAAAAGTGCAGAGTTATTTTTTAAACATTCAAAGATACTCTCATCTTACACTGTGTATTTTTAACACAGAGGTCTTGCAATAGGAAAGCTAAGTCTTGATGACCTGACAGATTAAGTTCTACTCCCTCTGTCTTCTGCTTCTAAGTCTATATGTAAAGGTCTGCTATCCCAGAGGTCCACTAGAAGCCATAAATCACATCCTTCTCAACATTTGCATGATGTTATGACAGGCATGACATAATCACACAAATGATGAGAAGGATGTGATTTGTGTCAGTCACGTGATGCAACTGATGCAAATTAGATCATTTGCCCTCCCCAACAGACTCCCAGGTCTGCTATAATAATATGCCTTGCACCTTGTCCTTGTTTCATGACCTACCAATATCTTGCCTCTTAATTGATACGATAGACTATGTATTATGAGGTGGTTGCTGTCTTCTGCTATGCTCAGATCATGGAAGGAGGCCATATTGCTTCATATTTCCAAAACAGAAAGTCTCATGAGTATGTCTGGCTCTCTGCTGGAAGTCAGGAAACACACCTGTCTGAAGCAGTATGTGATTAGTTGTATATTTGGACAACCAACTGCTCTGTGCAAAGTAGCATAAATTAGTGCAATCAATATTATTAACCTGCACTGGATAAAAAGCAGTGATTGATAGAATAGCATTACCCTTTAAATAAGTAAATAATTCATGTTTGGCTGCCAATCCAGATGTTGTTTTACTTAGAAAAAGACTGAACCTGGTAGGTATAATCATACAGCTGGTGACTGCTGAGAACAGGTCTGGTAGTATCATAATATGACCTAAAAGATAACTGTTACTTCCGGTATCAAATCTGAGCAGTTTCCCTGCCTTGAACTGAAATAAAAGCAGTAGAATGTCATTTCAATTTTTATTTAACTTTCATTTTAGATGCAACTGTGCCTGAGGCCAGCCCTGGAAAAGAGCCAATTTCCTCAAGCTGGCCCTCCAGATGTCTTGGATTTTAATTTCTATGATTTATTTATTTATTGGCCTTCTAGCCCACCCAACTCCAAAGCAACTCTGAGCAGCCTCCCAAACTTAAAAAGCAGCATTATATAAAAACAAGTCATGTGAGAGAACAACATGCCATCCTTCTGCAGCATTCCCCAATTTAATGGGCCCACCCAAACATCCTAACCCAAGATGTGGGGGGAATTTTAGGCTTATAAAGACTGCTTGACATTGGGCAGTATGGGGGCCATATGAATCTCAGATGGGGGGGTGCTTTTTCCAAAAAGTGCAGTGATGGAGAAGCCATCATGGAACATTTATTTGAAGCCAGCTGCCCTGGAAGTAGGTGACATTTGCAGTCCAGAGACTAAATCACAGAGTTCCATAGATATTCTAATTACAGAAGGTGTTGCCATAATCTCACTGTGCTAGAAATACTCAAGGGCAAAACAAAAGCAAAAAAAGAGAGAGAGAGTTCTGTCTCTAAAGCCTTTCAGATGCTTGCTGTTTGTTCAGACAGCATGGCCCAGTCGTGACTGAAAAAAATGTGGCCACTTAAAGGCAGTTAACTATTGACCTGGTTTGGCTTGATGCAGGGCTGTGCTTGTGTGAACCGCTACCAGGAAACAGCAGCTGTAACCTAGAAGGGGCTACCAATTGCATGTTTATTTCATGCAGAGATATGACAGGCTGGAGCCCCTCCATGGAGCAGAAAGGGAAGTCTGAATCAGTCCTATTCATTATGGTAGACAACAATAAAAAAAAATCTAGAGCCTTTTTTTTAAAGCTCCAGCTAGTTCCCACATTTTGGAAAACTTGGGTTTTGTAGAACACACTATTTTCAAGTTTTTACCATTATTTTTTTTTTACTCTTTTCCCTGCTGTTTTCAAAGGAAGAAGCAAAGCTTGACTCTGAAATCAGAAAGAAAGTAAAGGGAGGTAAACTTCACAGAAGTATTTTAATCTACATTCTGTTCATTTAATTCCTGATTTTTTAAGGCTGCAGTAGAATGGTTTAGCCATCCTGACTATGTCTTTATTTTAAGGGCTGACATTTTTCTTGCCCTACCACTTGTAGCATATCAGGCTATGCACAGGAGAAATTAGAGGACTGGAAATCAGGAGGCATCTAGGACCCAGAAGCTGAGACTCTCTCCAAGCTCCTGGCTGCCTCTCACCCTTCACTGCAGTGGATCTGTGCATCAGTTACAGTGGAAGAGAAGCAGGAGGTATCCAGTATGCTGGAAATCTACACAGGGAAGGTATGAACTGGAACTGGGAGAAGAGAGGAGGGTCAATTGTGGCCAGGCAGCAACATGCAGGCATTCGGGGTAGGATATTGCTAGTGCTTTCCTGTCATCCAGGTGATGTGTGTATATATGTTTTCTTTATGTTAGTAGCCAGTCCATTCTCTCAAAGATGCTGAGACAGAGGTAAGTACAGGGGAATGGAGAGCAATGAGAGCATAAGCTATTTGGGGAGGATCCCTTTTGCATGTGAATCTGGGAGCAGATTTTCCAGCAGCAGAGCAAAGAAATGAACAGGACCCACCTCTTCTATTCCTTTATCCATTCAGGGTTCTTGTTCTTCTCCCTTCTGGCATAAGCTGAGGCCTGCTTCTATGCTGCCTGGTCTACAAGTACTGGACTGGCAGCAGGAGTAGCCTAGGGTAAGGTTTCTTGAGCAGGAACAGTGGGCAGGAGTAATGGCATTTCAGCCATGGCAGGGGTGTCCATTCATTTCAGATGGAAAGGAGCAGAAGAAGGTTGAAAGTCCAGCACTTGGGGGCTCTTTGTCTTGTAAGGCTGGAGACAGGACAGTGAAGGAAACCCACGTGAGCAGGATTTGAGCTTGTATGTGTGAGTGGGTGTTTCTTGAAGACAGACCAGACCATATTTACCTTATGTGTACTATTGCTTACGGATTAGGAGGGTTGCCAGTAAGGATTTCAGAAGCAAGGAACATTTGGAAGTTATAGTATTGGAACCATCCAGTAAGTCCAACAGTGGGCATGCTCCAGGTCCCATCTTTAAAACAGGGCCACCTGAGAAGACCCAGGTGGCATGTCTTCTCTGTCATGGCATCTGTCCTCTGGAATAGCATCCCCTGGAATATTGAGTGGCCCCAACCCTGCCCTCTTTTAACTAGCTTTGAAGACTTGGGTTTTTCTCCAGGTTAGGGAGTGCGTACCACTATCAGGAATTTGTATGTATGTGTGTGGTATTTTAATTCCTGGTTATGGCCTTCTTCAGGTTTGAATTGTTTTGGACTGTTTTTAACTGTATGCCTCATTACGAGTGAGGTGGACTATACATTTGATTTAATAAATAAATAAATAATCAAAGAACATATATTTATTCCTGTGGAATTGTGAAGTATGGGGAATGAGGGAAAACTCTGCTGTTCATAGATGAGATAAATACTTTGTGGGTGTTTTTTTTGAAGGAACACTATTTAAATGAAAGAAGTCATCTTCATTAGGTAAGACGAGGGAGAAGTTGGAGGTAGAGCTTCCAATGGGATAAAGAGGGTGTCACTGTTTCCATCTCTATCTGGGAAAGAGCTGCTTGGCTGAGAACTGAGGGTAAAGAGATGGAGAAAAGAAGAAGATGCATTGGGGAAACATCTAAATAAGTGCTCAAACAGTGGCTTATGAGAAGTCCAGAAGAGTACCAGAGAGGCCAACTGGCAGGATTTCTGTTGCATTCCAGGACACTGCTAGATATGGCCAGGCTTTGGCCACTGGGCCAGAGGAAGTGTGGTGGAGCCATGTAAGACTGAGATAGCTAATATTATCTAGGGCCAAGCTGAAGTCATAGACAGACAAGCTTTGCTTTTGTTTTGTTCTGTTTTACTTTCCATCAGCGCTGTGCTCCGAGCATATCTGTTGAACTGGAGTGCAAGGGGATATTTCCAGGACTGAAGCCTGGACCTTCTTGAAAGCAAAATGACCTGTCAGCAGTTGTCTGCTTCAGAGCAACTCAAGTGGGTAAGTTGGGCTCTCGGCAGATTCTTCAGGGTTGAAATGGGGCATGAGTAAGCTAAAGGCACGGGAGGGCCAAGGAGAAAAGAGAATCCTCATTATCTCATGCATCAGAGCTTTCTATTCTTGTGAGAGGTGTTGTTTTGCCTGCTAGTTGTGATAAGTTGCACAGTCTCACTACCGTGCTTGGGAACTAACATGACAGACCAGGAGTGCCAAGAATAGGTGAGGCCAGAAAAATTGGCCACTTTTTCTACTGGAGGACTGGGGAAGGGGGTGGATAAGAAGTAAAATTAGAAACTTAAGCCTTACTGGAATTTAAGTTACCCATTTCACACCTTAAATCTCCAGGTACTCCCTCAAACATGGTCCATGTCCCTGGCCCAGCCAGTTTTTAGAGTGCAACCCTCAGTATGTTGTGCAAAGCTCTTAGGCCCAAAAAGTTCACAAGTATATGAGAGAGGCTTGTGCTGTGGTTACATCACCTGACTTATACTATCCACACCATGCCCTCTAATTGCAGATGTTTAAAGAAAAATGTATTGGTATCATTCTCACTGCAGGTACCTGCCTGACCATAATTTGATCATAGTGATTTAACCATTTCTTCTAATTTCCTGGGGTTCAATTGGCTTCAAACAATAAATATAAGCAAGCTGTATGTGTACCCATCATTAGCTTGTACTGAATTACACCTTCTCTGGAATATGGATTTTGGAAATGCTTCCATGCCTTGTTGTGCATCAGTCAATGGGATCAAAAGAGAGGTGCCAGGAAAATCCCTCTCTCTGAAACCCAGGAGGATCACTCCCAGCCAGTACTGGAGTAGGATCACTAATAGGAGGACAAGACAGCTTTCATCCTGACATGTTCCAGGTGGACCTTGTGAGTGGATGTAGGGCATGAATGTCTTAGATCAGAAATCCTTGGCAGGAGTTTATTTGTAATGATAAAAAGTCTTTCACCACAACTGGCCTGAAATCTCATCTGTTTTCATTTATTTTGTTTTTATATTTCTTGGATCCTGCTAGTCATCTTTCCCACAATGTAGCAAAGTTAATATCTAGTCTGTTACAACTTAATTCCATAATATGGAACAAACAGAACTAAATCTTTCCCTTTAAAGAGATGTGATATTTCTCTTACAAATATAAAGGCACTAATGAGCAAAGAGTTAGAGGGTTTCCTCTCTTCTGTGATTGCAATGTTTCAGTTTTCTGCCAGGCTTCATTGTATCTGTGAGGAGATGCATTTTAATGAAATATTATATGCAAAACACTTTAACTGGTTTGTCCTTCCCAGAACTGTGAATGTACATTAAGAAAATCCTTACAGCAAGAAAAATTACTTCATCCTTCAAGAACAGTCTGAAAGAGAAAATTGCTGAAGGAATTCTGGAGGAGGCTTGAAGTTTCTAAATCAACTCTTACAGCATGAAACTTCTACATTTTTACCAGCCACTTGTAGCAGCCTACCAAATCTACATAGCTGTAGTTAAAAAGGGGGGGGGTGGGTCTTACTAAATTTTAAATTCTGAAGGATAGATCCTTACATTATCATTTGGCAATAGATAATGGGTTGGCAATATCTGGGTTGGCAATAGAGTCCCCAAGGCTGTTGCTCTTCGGGGATTTCAATCTGCCACCTGGTGATATTGATTGTGGGGCAGCTCAGAAGTTCATGGCCTCCATGGCAACCATGGACCTGTCCCAAGTCATCGATGGCTCGATGCATGCCAGAGACCATATGCTAGATCTGGTTTTTGTCTCAAGGTAGTTGAGATGTGATCTGGCAGTGAAGGATATTAACACCAGTCCGTTGCCATGGACAGATCACTCCCTGGTTGCCTTTCGACTCACTGATGCCACCCTTTCCTGCAGAGAGACAGGGCCCATTTGATCAGCTCACCCCAGGAGACTGATGGACCCAATGGGGTTCCAGAAAGAGCTTGGGGTTTTCTCTGAGAATCTGATGGGTGATTTGGCTAAGGCCCTAGTCATTGCCTGGAATGGGCAGGTGGCTGGGGCCTTGGACTGTATTGCTCCTGTGCAGGCTTTCCCTGTATGCTGATCCTGGAGTGCACCTTGGTTTACCAAGGGGCTCCAGGAAATGAAATGTCAGAAGACACTTCTGGAGCACTGTTGCAGGAAGACTTGAAGCAAGTCTAACGACACAAATAAGAGCACATATTAGGGCCTACCTCATGGTGATAAGGGCAGCGAGACGTCAATATTTCTTCACCCTTATTGTGTCTGCCGGTAGCTGTCCAGCAGCCTTCTTTAGGGTGACCCAGTCCCTATTGGGTAGGGAGCTCCCCTGGAACATCTGCTGGGTGACTATGAGGATTACTCAGGCTATCTGGTGGATTACATTGCTCAAATTTGCTTCACCAGAGGGCCCCTTGGACTCTGGGCAGGCCAGGCCAAGGTGTCTGAAGCATGGTCTGGTAGTGTGATCTGAGATGAATTTGAGCTGGTGACTCCTGAGGAAGTGGACATGCTCTCTGTGCTATCAGCTTGGCCACCTTTTACTGGATCTGGGTCCCTCCTGGGTCATGAAAGTGGCTAGGGAGGTAACCCACAGTTGGGTCCACATCAGCTTCTTTGATGGAAGGGGTGGTACACCCCCTCCTCAAGAGGCCATCCTTGGACCCAATGGCCTTCAATAACTATTGACTAGTCTTCAACTTCCCTTTCTGGGGAAGGTTGTTAAGAAGGTGGTTGGTCTGTAGCTGATGAGAACCCTGGAGGAAATGGATTATCTAGACCCATTTCATTTAGGTTTAAGGCTGGGATTTAGTACTGAGACAGCTTTGGTTGCATTTGTAGATGACCTGTGGTAGAGCCAGGATGAAGATGGTGCATCCATTCTTGGGTTCCTTGATCTCTTGGTGGCTTTTGATACTGCACCATTTTATGGTGGTTCTCTTCCTTTCTCCAGGGCCAGTTTCATTTGGTATTGGTTGGTGGAGAGAGACCATTCCTCAAGTTCCTCCTTTGTGGGGAGTCACAGGGTTCTGTTCTCTCTCCTCTCTTTTTCAACAATTACATGAAACTGCTGAGGTTATCCGCCAATTTGGGGTTCAGTATCATCAGTATGCTGATGATATCCAATTATATCTTTCAACTCTAGGCTGGCCAAGTAAGGTGTCAAGGTTCTGACCCAGTACCTGGAGGCTGAGTGGGTTTCGACAGGGAAGAATCGTCCCTGACTCAATCCTACCAAGACCAAGTGGCTGGGGGTGTTTGGACCACCCAGATTTGGGGATATTCCAATTTTGACCTTGGATGGGGTGATGCTTCCCCATTCAAGGGTGGTGCACAATTTGGGGGTCTTCCTGGACTCACAGCTCCTGCTTGATGAGCAGATGGCAACTGTGGCCAGGAAGGCCTTTGCCCAGCTTCATCTGGTGCACCAGTTGCTCCCTTTCCTAGATCGGGGGGCCCTTCAGACAGTCAGTCATGCCCTGGTCAGCTTGTGGCTTGACTACTGCAGTGTGCTCTTCATGAGGGCTGCCTTTCAAGATCGCCCAAAACTTCAACTGGTCCAGAATGCAGCAGTATGGGCAGCGATGGACATGCCTCAGTATTTCCATGTAACACCTCTGCTTTGTGAGCTGCGCTGGTTGCCAGTTTGCTTCCAGGTGAAAAGAAATTCCAGAATCTTCAGCCAATCCTGAAAAGATTAGATTTTGTGTGTAAATAATTAAACCTATCTAACAGGACAACACATCTTAATGTCTAAACAGATTCAGACAGAGCTAATATACATACAAGTAGTCCTTGTTTAGTGACCACAATTGGGATTGGCAACTTGATCGTTAAGTGAAGTGGTCACTAAGTAAAACCATGACTGTGCTTATGATTGTACTTCAGCTTTCCTTTGCTTTACAGATCTGCGAAGGACCTAAATGTGAGAATTGGTCATAAAGTCACTTTTTCATCTCTGCTGTAACTGCAAATGGTCACTAAATGAGGCAGTCACTAAACGAGGACTGCCTATATTCTTTTAATTGTAGCTGTATTCCTCTAATACAGGTAGTCCTCAGTTAATGACCTTAATTGGGACTGGAATTTTTATCACTAAGTGAAGTGGTCATTAGGTAAAACATCACATGACTTAGTGACAGCAGTTCTGGTAGTCCTGGTTGTGATCATTAGGCAAGGACCATGGCATCATTAGGCAAGGATCTCATGCTTCTCCTGCCCTCCTGCGCTCACCTCCTGTTCAACTCCCCACACCTGCCTGTCTCCCCCATCTTTGTCCTTTGGGTTGCCCTGACCCCCTGCTGACCTTTGCCATCTTCTTCCTCCTGCTGCTGATGAGGCACGCCCAGCCAAGTCAGCTGCTGGCCCTTCGTGAGACCTCCCTGAGGCCGTGTGAGGCCTCCCTGAGATGCACCTTGGGCATGCCTCATCAGCAACAGGAGGAATAAGTTTGGCAGAGATGGGGGGGCCACAGAGGCAGCCATTGTGAAAGGCTCATGAAGGCCTTGAGAAGGGCCAGCAGCTGCCTTGGGAGTGGTGGGGCAGCAGGGGTGGCAAAGTGCAGGGTGGTAAGGTGGCAGGGGCAGTGGAGTGCAGGGTAGCCAAAAGGCCAGAGATGGGGAGAGATAGGTTGGGGGGGGGAGTTGAAGTGCATGCTGCAATCATAAATGCAGCTGGGGTGCCAAGCACCTGAATTTTGATCACGTGACTGTGGGGGCACTGCGACGGCTGTAACTTCGAGGACTGGTCATAACTATCATTTGTTCAGCGCCATCGTAACTTCATAACTTTGAACGGTCTCTGAATGAATGGTCATTAAGCAAGGACTACCTGTAATATCATCTGAAACTGAATCAGGTAAATCACCAAGTACACTAAAATCCCCAAATGCTTTCCCTAAAAATTCCACAGTAGATCATTGAACAGCCAACCAACCAACCAACCAAACAGGGAATTTTATGGAAATTGTTCTAGGGGGAAGGGGTATTGAAAGCACTATGCTTTAAAAGAAACACGTGTGCTTAGGGTCTTTGCTGGGATTACACATACTGCTAAAACATAACGTGGGGTGTTTTGTTTGACTTAATGCAATGTGTGAACATAGCCATTGTGGCTTGTGCACCAGGGTTTATATCCTAATGTTATGTGTAAACAAAGCTAGCATATTTTAATGCAATAATCAGTGCTTTAATTACTGTAATTTAAATCCAACAGATTGTTAAGATATAAATATTTGCAATCACGTCATTATTTGTGTATTTCTATTTAGCTTTCTGTGCAATTACATTCAAAAGTGGTTTCCAAATGAAGAAAAAATGTAATCATAAACACAATAAATTAAAACAATATAAAGCACATTCATTAAAAGGGGAAAAGGGAAAAGAGCAATTCCTCCCTAACATTGATTCAATGAAGGTTTGGGTGAAAAGATTGGTCCCTCAGTGGCATACCTGTTGGCGCTTCATAGATTTCATCAGGGAAAGTATCCAGAGAACAGGAACTATCAAAGTGGAGCCTCATAAAGTAGGTTCACCTAGGTCTCTCATGAGAAAGCATTGTTTAGGATCTTATACATAGAAGCAAAACCTGGAATCTGGACCGGTAGCTAACTGGCAGCCAGTGCAATTGCTTCAACAGAAGTATAGCATATGAATATCTACAAGCCTCATTCAACAACATGACCACCATATTTTGTGGATTTGTATATATATATAATTTTTATTAATTTTTAAAAGAATAAAAACAGTAAAAAAATTGAAAGAAAAAAGTAAGGAAAATAAAGTAATAAGTAATTGAAAAAAAGAAAGAAAGAGAGAAAAGGAAAGGAAAGGAAAAATTATAAAAAAGTGGCTATAGCAGTTACAAGAACATTTATATTTTACCCTCTCTCTCTAAGGTTACAACATAATTTCCTACGGCCACCATATTTTGCATCAACTACAGCTTCTGGATGAAATGCAGTTACATTACAGTAATCTACATGTGAGGTGAGCAGTACCTGAACAACAGAAACTGGCTTTCCCTATCAAGGAACTCTAGGAAGTGACACCCAATGTAGGACAGGAAGACTCTCCACATATCCAGGGACCATTTACTTGCAGGGTTTCTGTCTTGTTTGTTGGCCCTCAACCCTCCCATCATTTTGTCCCAATACTAATTCAGAATATGCACAATCTCTTATTCAGATGTAATATATTAGGGCTCTGCGTACTTTGGAAGAAGTGCTTTGGATCTTGCCTAAGTGAATCACCTCCTTGTTATGTATTAAAGCAGCCTGACTTTTTCCAGCCTGAAATAAAAGGATGCTGTTGCTTTAAGGAATCTACGCATTAAAGTTAATGCTACTCTTAAAACAGCAGCACCTGTTTTTCAAGCTCAGATGGAGACCTGAAAAAAGTGGGGTTCCTTTAATGAAAGCTAACAAAGTGCTCTGCTTGTGCAAGGTTGAAAAATGATCATCTGAATAATTTTTGAAGCAAAATAGTCTTACTATGGATAAATAAAATTGAGTATCCACAGCATGTTGATAACTCCATGTCTCAAAATATGTTAACGTTAATTAGCATTTGGGGCAAGATAATGCCTTATGGCATCACATACAGTAGCTAGTTTCTGTGATCAACATTACAAATAGGAGAAGGACCACTATAATCCAGCACTCCTAACTCACAGGGATAATCGTGGAGAATATCCTGGTCAATGAGATCAAAAGCTACTGAAAAATTAAGCAGGATCAACCACATTTCCTCTGTCTTTCTCTTGTAGGAAATCATCTGCCAAGGTGACTTAGGCTGATTCTGTCCCCAAACCAGGCCTAAATTCAGTTTAAAAGAGTCAATATAATCAATGTCTTCCAAGAACATAAATAGCAGCATAGACATCACCCTCTCAAGCACTTTGCCCTAGCAAGGAATAAATGACTCAGCAATAGTTGGAGTGATGCTTGGGTCCAGGGAGGGCTTATTTAGGAGAGGATGGGCAACAGGCTATTATCGCTCCATCACACCAAGATGTGTTCACCACTCTATGGATCAACCTAGTCATTCTTCTTTGGGTATCTTGAAAAAACCAGGATTGGCAGGGTTCAAGGGAACTTACATTAGCATCCATGTCTTCAGCCTCATATATTGAAAATGATTCCATACAATTAAGCCAAGTGATGAACTCTATACCTCAGTATCAAAACCAGTGTTAAAACTGGCATGAAGATGGATACATCATCAAAGTGCCTTGCAGATTTGTCACATGGCATGGTTTACAGGGCATATAACAGTAAGCCTTTAATCATTCTAAAATGCTCTCTTGAGGATGCAATGGAGGTTGCATTGCCATACAATAAGCAGAATTGTGTATATGAATGTCTATCTGATCAATTAATGGTGAACTACCATTTACATTCTAGCTATCGCCTAGCTAGTTTTATCACCCAGTGTACCCCAGAAAACTTTGCTCCAGAACACTAGAGAGGGCTCTTAGGAATGATCTTCTCAGTGGCCCATTTTGTTTCACCACTACATAGAACAACAAAGGCCTTGACAGGATTATTGTTCAAGAATTTCCAAAGTCTGTGGGGACAAACTGTCCCAGTAACTACTCCGTTCCTATAGAAGGATAATGATATATTGAGAGCTGACTCTCAACATTCATCTCCAGATGGTGGCCTGACTGTGACAGTGGGCAACTATAACTTTTGCTTTGCAGCATCCAGACTACTTGCCCCATGTCCCAAGCAAAAAACTAAGTCAAGGATATGCCCTGGCCTATTTCTTGGTTTGATGAGACAGACCTATGAAGTCACATGAAATCTAAAGCTTCCTGTATAAGGGGAGTCCCAACATAAATTTTAAAAATGCCCATCACGGAGTTCTCTTGAGACCACCACAGCCAGCTTGTATGGACAGCAGAGTGGGCTGTATACCAATATTAAACTTATTGTATTCTTAACCAAACACCAGGAAAAGGCCTTCATCGTCTTGGGAGAAGTTTTCTGGTCAGTGAGATTCAATGGATCTCAGCAATTCTTGCAGTCATATTTGATGCTGCACTCAGAAAGGTATGTACTCTGTACTCAGAGTAGTTACCCATCTTTCAGTAATGCACACAAGGTTGGCTCTCTCATCCACAATCATAGGATGCAGTAATTATATCCAGGGAGCTGACCAAAAGAGGAAAGAACCAAATAGGGTGGTGGCCTACAGTATATCTCTTCTGTCTTTTAAATGTCTTCCTCTCCACGTTGCTAGTGATCATCCACACTGGGATTTCTACTCTCTTCTCCCCCACTTTCTTCACTCAAATAACACAGAAAGAAAATGGGAGGGGAGTAAATAAAAATTGAACAAAAATTACATATTCAGAAACAACTCAACCTAACCTCCAGTTTTATGCAGGATAAATTTATGGCCAGATCCCATTCTCATTTAGGTCATTGTCCCCCTGACTCAACCCTCAGTAGACCAGGGCTGAATCCAGCATCCCACTCCCCATTCTTGGGAGCACCCACTGTTAAACTGTGAATCCCCTGAAATACCCCACACTCATCCTTTTCCAGAAAGATCAAAGGGCCTGACTTTCACAGCAACCATCCAAGTGGCTCCCCTGAATGGGACAATCTGCTTTAAAGGCAAAACTGCTCATTTCAGCCAGCCCTAAATGTAGTTCTGCCAATGAAGTAGCTTTGGCTGACATGGTGATTAATCTGTAAATATATATGTATTTCTTTCAGGTGCGAACATTTGCCTCAGAAACAGCATGTTGCAAGATGCAGTAAAGCCTTATACAGTTAGCAAGGAAGGGACTGTTCTTCATAACCAGGCCAGGTCCAATGGACTTTCTACATTACTTTGCTATTATAGCCTATGACATACAATCAAGATGAAACAGATCTGCTGAATTAAGCATGGCCCCTGATTGTAATGGCTCACAGAACTGAGTGGTACTGGAAGGTATAAGTACCCCAAAGACCTGCTGGACTTGAATGTTGGCAAAAAATATGGCCAGTGGCTGCTTGTGCACCACCATCTCTCTTGATTCTCTCTGATTACTTTCTGGGGACCCAGAATAGGATGGGTGATGGACTTGTAAAGGGAGGTGCTAATCTCCATGGAGCCTTCTCTTCCCACCCCGTGGGTGTGGAATCCCGCCAGGATCAGAAGACTGCTTCAGACATCCCAAAGTTCTATGCTTCTCAATTCTAGCCTAGACACCAAGCCCAGAGATGTGGCCTCTGAGTCTGTGGGTCTCTTCTTCATGCTTTTGATTGATTTGACAGCCATTGTGGGCAATGTAGCAATTATGACGGTCATTATCAAAACCCCAGCACTGAGGAAGTTTGTCTTTGTGTTCCACCTCTGCTTGGTGGATCTTTTGGCTGCTATTACCCTAATGCCTCTAGCCATGCTGTCCAGCTCAACTTTCTTTGATGGCACAGTCTTTGAGGATGCCATATGTCATACCTATCTCTTCCTGAGTGTTTGCTTCATCACCATGTGCATCCTTTCAATCTCAGCTATTAATGTAGAGCGCTACTACTATGTGGTGCACCCCATGCGCTATGAGGTCAAAATGACTGTAAGCCTGGTGGTCTGTGTCCTGGTTGGTGTCTGGATCAAGGCAGTAGTTATGTCCATCATCCCCATCTTGGGATGGCTTTCCCAAGACCATATGAGTAGATCCCCAGCCTACAATGGACAGACCTGCACCTTGCAGTGGAGCCGAAGTGCCTACTGCAAGTTTTTTGTGATTTTCTTTGCTGTTTTCTACTTCCTCTTGCCTGTCTCCATTATTTTGGTGGTCTACTGCAGTATGTTCAAAGTGGCCAGAGTAGCTGCCATGCACCATGGTCCACTCCCTACTTGGATGGATACCCCACGGCAGCGGTCAGAATCCCTTAGCAGTAGGTCCACAATGGTGACTAGCTCAGGAGCCCCTCGAACTACCCCTCAGAGGACGTTTGGGGGTGGAAAGGCTGTCATCATTCTCCTAGCAGTGGGGGGACAATTCCTCTTCTGTTGGCTGCCATATTTCTCCTTCCATCTCTACTCGGTTCTGAGCTCCCATTTCCCTGGCCAGCAGACAGAGAATGTGGTCACTTGGATTGGCTATTTTTGTTTCACATCCAATCCTTTCTTCTATGGGTGCCTCAACCGGCAGATCCGAGGAGAACTCAGCAAGCACCTCACCTGTTTCTTCAAGCAACCGCCGGAGGAGGACCTCAGGTTACCAAGCAGAGAAGGCTCCATCGAGGAGAACTTCTTGCAATTCCTGCAAGGGACAGGTTGCCCTGCCGAGGCCAGAAATGCTCTTACCCAGCCTAGCCCTAAAAGGGACCAAGCTACCATTGATTTCCGGATCCCAGGGCAAATTGCAGAAGAGACCTCAGAGTTCCTGGAGCAGCACATGAACAGCGATATCACTGTCTCTGATAACTACATCAGAGCAGCACGTTCACCGAAGCCTGAGCTGTAGCTAGGGGGTTTTTTTGCACTTGACAATCTAGATTTATTGATGTGTGAAATAATGCAGAATATAGCAGCTGATGAAGAATGTGTACGTTTGTATATGGGGGAGTATTTAATAAATACGCCATGGCAATTGGAAACCTTTCTCTCCAACGCACACTGCTCAAGTGAAACCACATGAACACACACAAAACCAGCTGCTATTAGTATCCAAGTAATTTCATTTCATTTTGACTAATATAGGATGGTAATTGCTCACCCACCCCATCAATTCATTCTTAAGGTTTGTAGTTAGAAACATCACTATTCTGAAGATTTTCTTTTCCTCTTTTGTTAGTTCCTTCCCTCCCTCCCTCCTTCCCTCCTCTAGTAATTGTTATCTTCTGCTTTGGACTCCTTCCATCCACCTTCTAATCATGGCTGCCTTTGACTTGTAGGATTATAAATGAGAGGGCTCACTGTTATTTGGACTAGGCATGACTGAGCTACAGAAAGGCCCAGGGATAGGTAGAAGCAATAACTGGATGAACAATTGACCTTTATGATGTAGGAACACATTTTACAGCTCCACATTGCCCCGCTCTGAAGGATTATATTGTCTTACTATTAAAGAAGTCAACAGAACTAAGGAAGTCACAAGAAGCTTTCCCTGTGGTTAAAAGTCAATCATCAATCATCATTGATGATCTAAAAGGCTGGATTCTTTTGTTACACTAAGCCAAAACAAAATAAATCACCTGATGGTTTAATGCAGAGTGAATATGGCCAATGTCAGAAATACATTAGAATTATGCCTTTAGTTGCATTAAGTTTAGATCTGTAAAATGAAACATATGATCTGGTTCACACATTGTTTTAAGCCGTTATATAGTTTGCTTGTTTTCAGTCTAGCACAAAGTTTGAATCCAATCATAACAGTTAATAAATTGTACCTGATCACCTGATAGAGGAATACAGACACTGACTTTAGTAGATTTACATAAAAGTATGTGCTAGTGACTTTTCTCATTTGGAAGTATACTCCCTCTGCCCCCAAATCCACTAGCAACTGCTGTGCTGAAGCAGTGAGTTTTGTACTTATTGCCTCTCTCTTTCTCTCTCATACACCCACACTGTATTTGTACATGCAAAGAAAAAATGTTTCTGTATATATGATCCTAGTTACTTAGATCAGAAGTGAGGCGTCTACAGTTCTCTTGATGTGGCTAAAGACCACACTTTGCTTTGTCACCATTGACTATCCTGAGAGGTGTCGTTCAGCAACAACTGGAGGACCACATGTTCTCCTAATACATTTCATGCCCACCTAGGGTAATCACCTACTTCTCATGGCCTACTTCATAGCACTACTGCTTCTCCATTGCCTGTCCAGCACAATCTCTTCTTTTCCTGTGTGGCCTTCTGAAAGCATATTACAGCTTTGGCCTAGAAGTCGAGGATTCCAGGACGAATGGAAGTTCCCTAACCCTTTCTGTGTGCCCAGTCCTACCACACATCTTCCCTGCTGCTACACTTCTTGTCCTAACTTGTGGCTCACTGTGGGATGCGCTGAAGGTATGCCCATCCATAGAAAGCTATAGTTTGAAAACATTTGGGTGAATCCTCATGCACGTTAGTGCCTCCTTTTGAGCTGGAATAGCTAGATGTTTAGCATAATTTCATTGTAAAGAATTGCTGGAAGGAATCTCAGAAATAATGAACTTTCCCTACTTCCTGTCTCAAATTAAGTAGTAGGTTGAAACCATACTTGGTCAATTGCCTTTTTTTCTTTGTAAGTTGTTTATTGTTGATTTCACATGACTCCTGATAGAAGGAACTTGGGGAAACAAAATAAGTATTTTTGCTAGAATTTTTGAGCTTCCAACTTTTCATTTTCAATAGTGAGTACAGTTCCTCTGGACATAGTAGCCTAAGACTTCAAAAAATGAGCCTTCCATAACCTGGTGTCCTCAATCTGTGTAAGGGACTAAATCCCAGCATTCTCTGCCAGGAATGGCCATGCTTACTGAGAATTCTGGGAACTGCTGTCCTACCTTCATCTAGACGATGCCAGATGATAGTAAAAACACATGGCATGCCAAATGTGGTAACAACTCTTAAGGAAGTAAAACTGTTGTCAGTTCAGAGAGTGTAGAAAATGGATAAGTACACCAAGAGTTGGCAGTGCATAAGGGTATTCCCTAACTCCCATACAATAGTGCAATGTGAAGCCCTGAGATTTCATCCACCAGGAATAATTTTTCTGGCCTAAAAATGCTGTGCTATGATGTGTATGTATGGTGAGAGCTGTTTTGTTTCAGTCTCTCAATATTCGTTTTTCCTTTTATGCAGTCTTTGTATTGTTTACAAGGACTGGCTTACTAAAGGCTCAGGAAGCAAAAGAAGGTGGAATGAATACCAAAAGTTCCGTGGCGATTGGCACAATAGACAGATCCATGCTAACCTCTGTGTTTCTTAATTCTTTCCATGTACACTTTTTTTTTTTGGCTTTCCAATGACACATCTGTTTGTTTTCTACTGTAACACTTTCCCCTTGAAACTAGGCCAGTGAGAAAGGGAAGAAAATTAAATATCACCATTCAAAAAATGGTAAAATATGTAAAATTGTGTTAAATGGCCCAATATTCAGAATATCTTTTCTCTCCAAAATCTTACTGGACCACATATAACATTTTCATGGGTTGATCTTGCAAGAAGAGGAAGGTGTTTTAATGTAGGACAGTCAAAGCCTAGAGACACAAATAAAGGTATTATTTATTTGATAAGTGTTTGCTGCCTGTGTGTGATGGGCTCTGTGCCGATCAAATGAGAATGAAAGGCTTCAGATAAGAAAATGGTTGTCCCAATTGTTCAGTTCAGGTGCTGTTTCCATGCTGGCTGGCTTCAAACAGGGAAGGCATGTTGGCTTCATTTCTGAGTGATGGTTCTGCAGAGTTTTATTCCAGAGAAAATTATTTTCTCTCTCTGCTAGTGTTTCCCTCCATATTCTTTTTCAGGTTGCTGGATCCATTTTAATGGATGCCCCTGCAGATTGAGGGGAGAAGTGGTGTTTGGAGGAGCTCCAGTTTGCATGTAGCAACCTGACAATTTATCCAGAGACTCCTTTCATTCTTGGCTTCTTGTCCTTTGAGATTATACAGCTAAGAGTAAGAAACCCAGATGTTCAGAAGTGGTATTGACAAAGGGCAGACATGAGAGACTCAGAAAGGAGCGGGGGTATTAAAATCCATATTAATATTTGCAGCCTGCCCTCCTCTAGGACTATTAGTGCAGTGTTTCTCAGCCTTGGGAACTTTAAGATGTGTGGACTTTAACTCCCAGAATTCCCCAGCCAGCCATTCTGGGAGTTGAAGTCCACACTTCTTAAAGTTCCCAAGGTTGAGGAACACTGAGATAGGGACTGCAAGATTCTGAATGGCCACTTGATGACTGCAAAGAACTCTACTGCTGTCTAGCGGCTGTTTGGATTTTTACAGTCCAGATATGGACTCAAATACAAATTAAACCCTTTAGCCACATTGACATGCATTACACACCTAGATATAGAGATTATGAATTCTCATAGAAGCTCTGAAGAATTCAGATGTATTGTTAAATCCTTTCCAAACATGGTAAGTGGCAAAGACTGAGGAAAAAACCAACTCTTTCTTGCCCTGTGATATTAGTTGTAACACTGAATGTTGGAAAAATAAGCATTGTCCATGCTGTGCCTCCTTAATAAGAAGCATTATTAAGGGTTGCTCTTAATATTTTTGCTGCCTGAAGCAAATCTATCTATCTATCTATCTATCTATCTATCTATCTATCTATCTATCTATCTATCTCGAGGAATATCACCATTTCACCTAGTGAAGATGGCCAAAAATGGCAGTTGACTCTTCTCTCCATCATTGGTAACATGATAATACTTTCCCCTTTACTTAAGGGCCACGGGAAACTGATGAGGGCTGAGAAGAAAAGTTTGTGAGGATGACTACTTCTGCCACCTCTTCAAAACAATATCTGCTGACTAATATATAACCTTTATCCTTTTTCTTCACTTTCACTGTTCAGTCTAATGACATCACCATTTTTATTCACCTGCTTTTGAAAGCACTTTGACTGGAGAAGCCACAGTCTCAAAAAGTAAGCAAATTTATAAAGACAAGCAAGATTAATGTTGCAAAGTGCAAGTGTTTAGGGATCAATAGAATGGGAAATCTCATGCCATCTGTAGTTCTGTTTTCTTTACTGACTGTTAGCAGGGAGTTCCAAACAAACGACTTTGTGGAAGTGTTTGAACCAGAAATGGCTTCAGGGCTCTTGTTCTTCCCAAACACCTGCTTTACTTTCTTTCAGATTCAAATCTCAAATGGGCAGGGATAAACATTACTCTAGTCATGAATATCTGCTGTACCATCTAAATCCTTCCTGCAAAAGGCTGATTCACAAACCACAGGAGTTTATTTAGCAGCAGCAGCAGCACATTTAAGGGCAGGAAGGTCAAAAAAGATGGCAGCTACGCTTGTATGATCAAAGTCTTGCCCTTATTTACATGTGTCATGGGTTCAACACATATAAAAAAGGGGCAGGACTTCAATCACATGGGTGTAGCTGCCATCTTGACTTTTTTGACACCCCAGATGCTGGGGTGTTTTGCCCATAAGAACTTTCTACAATCAGTGATGTTTGGGGCAGGGAAGGCTCATCCCCAAACTAGTCCTCACTTTAGGGCAGCCGTTCTTCCTGTAAATTACAGCAGCAAATAAGTACACAGCCACTTTGTACAGCACTGAAGAATGAGCTGTGAACTTGATCCAGAGAAATCCTCTCTGCTTCTTTTCAACAGATAAGATGTAGATGGAATGTTTGCTGTATACATTTATGGAGTACAATTTAATGGGAGTAGTTTGTGTCCTTGTTGATGTTCCACAATTTCCCTTCCACCACATTGCACTTCTAATACACAGAGATGGAAACTCAGTCCCTGCTGAGTGGAGGGCCCAATATACTTGAAAAAGGATTTTTTGCCTTTAAGCCAGTGTGACCATCAATTGAAGAAACCATATGATAACTAGTAGTTTCTGCAGAGTCTTTTGCTTGGCTTTAAAATTACAGAAATAAAATTTCATTAAAGGAAGAAGGGAGAACTTATTCTGCA